TGAACAAACAAGATAAAATAGTATAGTTTTCACGAAAATGATTTCTCTGTACAATTTTGAAAAATACAATTGCGCAAATGGAAACCTTTTTATTATACCGTACTATAGTTTTCTAATATAAATACATTTTTCTTTAATTGACTCATGTCGATGGAAACAACAAAGCTATTTTAGATTTCAATCTTAAATGGCCTACTTTATAAATTCAGTAGATCGTTTTATCGCGCTATTATTTGTATATGCGCGTATGTATGTGTGCACGGTAAGGAGAACAGGATTCGTAATTAATTATATAACTAAGTGTATTTTATCTTATGACACATTATTGGCATATGTGACATATTTTCGAAACATTGTACAATAGTATACTTTTCTAATTAATAACGGTTAAAATAAGTCGAGGTATTTCAATATCATCGGTGTTCACATTCCATGAGAAACATAATTGGGCTGCGAATCTTATACCGTTTCTAATCTTTTGAAACTCAGCATAAATAAATGTTTAAGGTGGTGCAGCAAAATTTATTTTCTTTGCAATACGATGAAACCCTTAATAAGCCAAAGAAATTTTTTCGATTATTACTTCTGTAAATCTGCTCATTAAAATTGATGTTTCTCTGAAAATTCGCATTCCAGATATAACTAAGGAAAACCGGTAACAAAACGAACAGAAAAACTATTGTAGCATATTAGGAACAATCAGTTACTATTATATTAAACAATAATAAAAAATAGAATGCTTATCATTATTTTATAAATAGATATTCAAGTGCTTCTGCGATGCTCCAATAAAAACTAAAACGTTCTGTACGAACAATGAACGTTTGAATAATATGTACACCGTAGGAACCTTTTTGTGAACAATGTAATATATTTAACAATACAACACAGCCCACGATAGTAAGGCGGCTGGCGTATATTGCCAAACATTAATCTCAGATACCATTCAGAGGCATGCCCACGATATAAAATACACGCATCGAATCGTACCTAGTTGACTCCGGCAGTTTATCTCTTAGTTAGCTCGCGAAACGTTAAAGGAGCCAGACAATATTCGTTAATCCTAACTATTCAATTCCAGTGTCTTCGAGTGTGCTTCCTTGGTTCGCGTGGAAACTTGTTAAGTACAGATTGTTCTAACGGAACGCAACGCATTACGATTATTCGAGCTATATTTCGCAAATGTTAATTGTTAATAACATAACGGTGATTTTCTAAATTCGAATTTGATCCAGTATTCTGCGGTCTACTAATCCACGGCTTGCCAATTATTGCTCGTCACAGAATAGAATGGAATATACAGATTACTAAATGTAAAACAATAATTGTATTAAGATGTAAGAAATGTTTTAAGTCGTCTTAATCACGGTCAGATGATTCTCCCGTCATTGCGAAACATCGCAAAAGACGATGGAGAGATACTTATCGACTAGGAGAGATACTTTAAGTGCTTAAACCCGAAATGACTATGATAATGGCTTTGTTGTTAACTTATGAGTCATGCTATTTCGTAGATAGAATCTCTGATAACTTCGAAGGATCGACCACGTTAACTGGAAGTTCAGGAATAAAGTGTCATGTAACTTTCTCCGATCCCAGTCGATGAGACCTGACCATGCCGGCGAAGCAAAACGGGCCCGAACTTGAGGAAAATGGAAAACGGGCGAAAGAGCAGAAGGAAGATGATCAAGATCCCAGTGAAAATTTTGATCCACCTGACGGCGGTTGGGGCTGGATCATCGTGATTGCCGCGGGATTTTCGAATGTGAGTGAAAAGTTTATTACGAACATCGCCGATTTCACGTCGATACGAATTTATTCCGATACGGCAAAGAAAACCGGTTCTATTAGCGTACCTAAGAAATTTCGTTGCTCTTACACGATCCTCTCAGTCATATAGAAAGCCGGAGCGAAGCGAAGTTATTTCGTTCCTCCCCGTTCAATCGAATGCCGCTTGTAACACTAAATCTACCATGGTCAAAAAAATGAGACCGGTTGCTTATTTCACAATTCTACGAACTTTAGAGACTTTGCCATCGGAAATGCTCTCATAAATTGCATTATTGAGGCAAGTTTGTTTCGAACGAGAACTTTACAAAGTCGACATGATTTCGATCTTCTTGCTTTTATGAGGCAATAACGCCAGTCGCTATTACCCCACAGTAGGTTTAGTGGGCACTCGATCTAATCGAAAGCACTGTACCATGACGAAGTAATCGATGCCGTTGTCACAGATGAATTCAATGTTTATGCGATTCTTTCAGTTTTGCATATTGCCGATGTTGCAATCGTTCGGTTTAATATTCAGAGATAGATTCGCTGAGCTGGGAATCAGCACGTCGCAAACAACAACTATTATAAATATAAATTGCGCCGTGACTGCTTGCACAGGTAAGGCATTTTTTTTTTCAACCGGCCACTGCAAGACGGTTCCAACACGCGCGCTTACATTTGTCTTTGTGTGTCCTATGTTCACCTTATGTGCGCGCCCATTATCAAAAGATGTAACTGTCCGATAGGGACTGATAATACGACGTGTCGATTACATACTTCGCAAAGGGAACGCCGGCTTATCGCGGCCCGGAGCTAACAATACTGTTCTAAGGCGGACTTATTCCTTAATCATTATTCCATAATAATCATGCTAACTGTGTGCGATTTCATAAGGAATAATAGCAGTATGTTTGTACTACGTAGGCGCTTATCTACACGTGCAGCAAATCTCATTGTTTCGCAACGTTGGGCATAAATCTTTGAACATATTGTTAGTGGTAATAAAAAAGATGCTCGCAGAAACTTTATGCTAAATAGTGTCTTTTCCTCATTACAAACAGCTGCAGCAACAGGAAACTCGAGGAATCCAAGAATTACCTCGGATTGAGGAAAAATCGAATTGGTTATTGAATGTGCGCAGGATTCCGTTCCGTTCCGTTTCGCTTTACTCCCACAGACTCAAATGTAGTTGACAGCGGGTCTTTGTGCAATTTTCTATTTCTGCGAATCATTTTTGAAACGTTCAATTCAGGGCAAATTTTGCTTTCGTTGATTAGAATATCCAATGCGGAACAGTCAAAAATATTAATAATTTTTGATAATATCAATGCTTTCTTGTGTTTCAGAAATTTGCACGTAGCATAAATGCATAGAGATCTGCTAATGTAATGTCTGTTAATGATTATACTGCGAGTTTGATGCGCTCACGACGAAAATTAATAGATAAAACACGAAACGATAAAAAAACGTTACAATTTATCTATCTAAATTTAGAAATTTGCTCTCTACAGTAAATTCTCTCTAATTGACCCTCAGATTGTACACAAAAATGGAGAGTTTGGGAGGAGGAGATACGATTATTCGAGCATTGCGGCTTCTTTTTATAGTTACCGATTGTCAACAACTATAAAAACGAGCCGCAAGGCTCGAATAATCGTATCTCTTCTTTTCATATTGTCCATTTTTGTGTACAATCTGAGCGTCAATTAGGGAGAACTTACTGTATTTCCTGTTTCTTGTATAATTGATATAAAAGATTTACTACTACCCCTGGGAAAAAGTATTCGTACACCTTTAAAAATGCAATAACTTTTTTAAAACTGGACTAAATGACTCGAATTTTGTTTAATGACAATTCTGTACAATGACTAAAATATTTCTTTTTAATTTTGGTATTACTTGGAATGACAAAAAGAGGTAAGAAACTCCCGTTTTTTATCTTTTATAACTTAATTTTACGACTTTCATGACTTGCTTAATTGAAACACTTTTATTTTATTGAATTAATCTTTGAAACTTATAGTCTGTAGAAAAAAACTATATATGTTTGCTACGAAAGTATGTTTAATATCGTTTGTAACAATAAAAAAGAGATATCCACTTCTACTCTATGTATATCAGTGACACACAGCTTATGCAGAAGATCATTTATTATTGTATATTCGCTGGGGTGAGNATAGAGATCTGCTAATGTAATGTCTGTTAATGATTATACTGCGAGTTTGATGCGCTCACGACGAAAATTAATAGATAAAACACGAAACGATAAAAAAACGTTACAATTTATCTATCTAAATTTAGAAATTTGCTCTCTACAGTAAATTCTCTCTAATTGACCCTCAGATTGTACACAAAAATGGAGAGTTTGGGAGGAGGAGATACGATTATTCGAGCATTGCGGCTTCTTTTTATAGTTACCGATTGTCAACAACTATAAAAACGAGCCGCAAGGCTCGAATAATCGTATCTCTTCTTTTCATATTGTCCATTTTTGTGTACAATCTGAGCGTCAATTAGGGAGAACTTACTGTATTTCCTGTTTCTTGTATAATTGATATAAAAGATTTACTACTACCCCTGGGAAAAAGTATTCGTACACCTTTAAAAATGCAATAACTTTTTTAAAACTGGACTAAATGACTCGAATTTTGTTTAATGACAATTCTGTACAATGACTAAAATATTTCTTTTTAATTTTGGTATTACTTGGAATGACAAAAAGAGGTAAGAAACTCCCGTTTTTTATCTTTTATAACTTAATTTTACGACTTTCATGACTTGCTTAATTGAAACACTTTTATTTTATTGAATTAATCTTTGAAACTTATAGTCTGTAGAAAAAAACTATATATGTTTGCTACGAAAGTATGTTTAATATCGTTTGTAACAATAAAAAAGAGATATCCACTTCTACTCTATGTATATCAGTGACACACAGCTTATGCAGAAGATCATTTATTATTGTATATTCGCTGGGGTGAGTTTTCGGTGGCTTATGTTCATGCATCGTAATATTTGTTACAAAACACAAATCACATAATACGTACTAAAATATGTTTAATAATATTTACATAGAGCAAACTATTAATATAATTGTTCATTAATTAGTCTATAATACTAGCTATAGAATTACTATACTAATGCTAGGTTATAGTAGTCTATAATACTAGTACTATAATACTAGACTAATTACAGCGGTGTTAATGCACAAAAAAAAGTAAAGTACATTTTAATCATTTATTATCAGATGTTAAATCGCTCAAACGCAAACATCTATCCGTTTTTAGGCCAATTAAAATTGTATCGCTCGAGTCCTTTAATTGCAACTTGCTTTATTGCTCGTTTTACTTAAAAAATAAAAAAGGATAATAAAAAGGTTACCCATGTCTTGATTATTAATAAATTACGCAACAGATAAAGCACAGCACATAACAATAAGTTAATGCGAATTTATAGCATTTATAGGCATCTTAATGACATTTGTTCTTACTATTGCAGGTTTATTCAATGGCCCGCTATTTAGAAAATTCAGTTTCAGACAGGTAGCTTTCGCCGGTGCTCTTATTTGCGCCATATCGATCACAATACTGTCAACTATGAAATCTTTCGTTGGTGCTATAGTGTTCTTTTCCTTTTTGTACGGTATTTATCTTATTTCGTCCAAGTTCTGTTCCTTTCATTATCTGAAACCTATAATGTACCGGACTCATAATTTCAGGTGTCGGAATCGGCATAGCACTGTCAGCAAATGCTCTAGCTCTGAATACGTATTTCAAAAAGAAAAGGAGAATAGCGACCGGTTTCAGTTGGACTTGTACGGGTCTGGGACCTATTATAATACCGCAGGTCATTGCATATAAAATAAGACTAATCAATAAGTTGAAATATCGGTAATTCAAGCGTAGACCAGGGCTCGGAATTAACCAGCACGCGACACACAGATCGCGAGGACTACGCCTCCTAACTCCCGTCGCAGGTCTCGTTCCCCGACGATCGCCTAAGTGCTGCGCACACACATATAGAGCAACAGGTACACGCGTCCGAGGTGCTCCAAGCCGAAAGTGGCAACGGAAGTCAGGAGGCGTAGTTCTCGCGATCCCCGTGTCGCGTGCTGAATAATTCCGAGCCCTGACGTAGACTAAACAAACGTAAATAAGTGACGCAAAATGTGAAAGCGCCAAGTCCGAGAACATTCAACGCATACGTGAATCTATGAAGAGTTTCTTTAATGATTATTTTGATTTTTAGATAATCACATTGTTAATGCCCGTGTATGATGTAGAAGGGACTACTCTGATCATCGGCGGTGTTACATTTAACGGAGTCGCGTGCGCTCTTTTGCTGCAACCCGTGTCTCGACATCTGAAAAAGAAACGAATTACGGATCAATCAAATGCCATCGACGACGTAGAATCTGAAGAGCCATTTACGTACACGAAGGTACATCTCCACAGTAAACGATTTCATGGATAATGAAAGTAAAATCTTTCCGCTGGACATCAAGTATTATTCACGTTTGCGTTTACATGCAGCGTGTCCATCTTAAACATCCTAAATAATGGCCAAACATTGTATTAAGCAACACAGTCTGAAAGTCACATTTTTCAAGATTTCAAGATCATTAACATTTTCTAAATATGATCGTATGCGACCTAGGTGTCGTGTCATCCGAGTGGCACATTGAGTATCAATAATAAATAAAAATAAATATAGTTAAGAAATAACTACACGGTAACAAAAAATCAACGAAGGAAATTTATTTTAGAATAAATCCAAAATGTCCATTATCTTCGATATATGCATACAAAGTAAGGAAATACATACATACAAAAATAGCTTGTTTTCGTCAGTATAGTGTAACTATTATTTTCTTATCTGTTTTTTATCGTCCATTATAAGTGAAACGTTGGAGATGTTTAAGTTACATAGGACACGTTGTATAACAAGGCCATAAAATCTTAAACTAATAATACGAGGTTGCTTAATAAACGTTATTAATAATTACTGATTACTGTAAATCTTGCTGAATAAATTTCAAACTACGATAGATAATTATAAACAAACTGTAATAGCGATAGCTACAATTTTGTACAGGTCGAAACGGAACCACCAGTCGAGAATAAAGACAATACTTGGGAGAGCGAAGCCTCAGAAAATATCGATGACAATGACCGAAGCAGTTACGGTGCTTTGAGTCTCGCGAAGGAAAAGTTCAGTAGCCAGTATTTGTATTACGACGATGCAGAAGACGGCGCTTCCGGTATAGACGTTATGGCTCCAGGTGTCCTCATGATGTCACGAGCTAACGATGGCTGGTAGGCACAAAACACCAAAAACTATGATCTCGCATCGCAATGCTGTGGCAACAAATAAAAAATATGTTAACGAAATAGGTATTCGAGAAAAAATACTTCAACCACGTCAGTTGCGTCGAGAGTATCGAAGAAGGAAGAGCTTTACAAATGTCCCCATCGGAAAATGTCGTTGCCTATGTCTAGGCAATCCAGTCTACCTAGAGGATCGTCAATAAAAAGTATCAATAGGTATACGATAGTTCAGTTGATCTAAGAATCTCATTAATTTATTATTAACTTACTATCTTGCACGATGATTGTCACAGATTATTATAATGTAGTGCCGAATAATAGAATAACGTTTCTTCACGCGGGAAATAACTACATCGCAATTGAAAGAAAAAGAGTCGAAGACGAAATAAGGAAAATCAGTTTTATATAATTTTATCTGCTCAATTTAATATTATTTATATTATATTTATTATTTTTTTAATTTCTCTATCCACTACGCAGACGTGAAACACTACATTTTCCAGCTTAAGTTAATCTAAAAGTCTTATTGATTCATGAAGATTATCAGAGAATGTTATAGTACTGTATTATAAATAATAGTGTAACGTTTCTCCTTACGAACTACATCATAATTAAAAGAAAAGGAGAAGAAGAATAAGTAAGGAAAAGTATTTTATTTCCTACTCTCTTTTGAAATCTTTGTCAACTCAATTTAATTTGTGTGAAAGATTATTCAAATAATTCTTTTTATGGATATTGTATTTACTACTACATTATTAAAATTGTTATAGTTATTAAAAAAAAAAGAATTACGCAGACGTGCAACGCTGTATTATTTTTCAGTTGCATCTTTACGGTGATATGGAAGTGACCAAGTGTTTTTGTAAATGTTTTTTATTTATTTTTATGTTATTTTCAAAAGTTAATAAAAGTATCCGTTCGATCAAGAATTATCAAAAAGATCATAGTAAAATTTCTCTATACTGTTCGTAGACAATACAGTGAAAATGATGCTCTCCGGAAAAGAATGTCCGGATATCAATCAAATGCGCCGTCTCTTATAATTGTCAATAAATTCAATGAGAAGTCTGATGATTGTAAAGATCCACTCAACAACCGATTGGTAGAGCAAACCACTGTGATACCCGAGGAAGCGGAATCATATCAATTAATAAACCACGTACGTATTAATATATAATTACAGATAGAATTTTCTATTTTGTGAATAACGATTCAAGGGTTTGGTTAAACTTAAGTGAAATAAAAGAAAGTTCTCACGATCCTAGAAACGCTGTAAAATCGTAATTCGTTGATTCTATCGACACTTTCTGTAGGACAACAATTTTAGAAATTTACATTTTCTCCTATCGTCACAGTTTTCAAATAAATTAAAATATCTGCAAAAATTAACGTACTTTAAATATTTTCATACTTCAATCATTCTTTACTGTTTATATCTATTTATATATATAATATTATTATATAGATGTGTATAAGAGACAGATATATATATATATACCTGTCTCTTATACACATCTAGATGTGTATAAGAGACAGATATATATATATATACCTGTCTCTTATACACATCTAGATGTGTATAAGAGACAGATATATATATATATACCTGTCTCTTATACACATCTAGATGTGTATAAGAGACAGATATATATATATATACCTGTCTCTTATACACATCTAGATGTGTATAAGAGACAGATATATATATATATACCTGTCTCTTATACACATCTAGATGTGTATAAGAGACAGATATATATATATATACCTGTCTCTTATACACATCTAGATGTGTATAAGAGACAGATATATATATATATACATCTATATATTTATATAATAAAATGAATATTTATATATATAATATTACATTATATATTGTTAGGAAATAGTTTAGATATTAATATATGTATATTATTAAATGTAAATAGATATAAATAGATATATATTATTATATTATATATATATATATATAAATAGATGTAAATAGATATTAATATATATATAGTTATTATTATTATTATATATATATATATACATCTATTTATATATATATAATATAATATATAATATTATATATTATATAATAATATTATATATATTATACCTAATATATTATATATATCTATTTATATCTATTTACATTTA